CCTTCCCCTAGAGCTGGCACCCTGAATTTGGACTTCTGGCCTCCTAAACTGTGAGAAAATAAATTTCTGTTTGTTAAAGCCACTCACTTGTGATATTTTTGTTATAGCAGCACTAGATGACTAAGACAGATACTTCATAGATAAATTTCAAAGAAATATAAGCTTCTAGATTTTAATTATTTGCTTTTATCATTAATATTGAACTGTTCGAATCTGAAATATTCCCCTCCTCCTCTGTCATGGTTTTAAAGAGAGAAACCTTGGGTTTCTGTTTATCTGCTGACTTGGGGAACAAGCATTCTCTACCTCCTACCCCAACTACCCCCTTGTAATCACGGGTCTCAGGGTCTTGGATAGTCTAGGATGAAAAGAAAAAAAGTTCTAAAATAACTTCCTCAAACTTTTAAAATCAACAATGTTGCTTTGTCATTTGTCTGTCATTTTCAGTCCAACTGTTCTTTAATTGTCCAGCTCAAATGTACCTTTTTCTATGACGCTTTCCCAGGTCCATCTAGTCAGAGTCAAGCTATTTTTCCCCCTATGTTGTCATTGTTTACACTTCAGCTAATGGTTATTTCTTGGCTGGAAACATGTCCAACACAGTTTTGTATTCCTGCAGAGTCTAGCACTCACAACAGACTCACATATGTTTACTGGATTGAGTTGAAATTCAGACTGTGGGAAATAAGAATGATAGTATGGAATAATAACAGAATATTAGAGTGTGTTTAGTTGTTGGTATTAGCTGCCGTCAAGATGATTCTGACTCATGGTGACCCCATATGTGCAGAGTAGAACTGCTTTATAGGGTTTTCAAGGTTTTGACCTTTCAGGAAAAGATCTCCAGACCTATTTTCCTAGGTGCCTCTGGGTGCATTTGAACCACGAACCTTTAAGCTAGTAGTTGAGAGCTTAACTGTTTGCACCACCCAGGACCAGCATGCATTTAGAGGCACCCAGAATAAGCTTGCAGAATTTCCCTGATGATTGTATGCTTGTGTCCCAGGACATAAAGTGGGAAGAATATCGCTTGTCCTTTACCAACTACATCCCATCAAACATGCATTATCTAGGAGTTCTTATATATCACTCTACCATTCATACAGACCCTCAGCTTCCACTGATGAGTTCTCATGATGCCTGTCTACTTCAATGTAGTCACAATCCTGGAATATAACTTCCCAAAATGCAAAGTGTCCTTTCCATAAACACATTTAACACAGTCTTAGCATGGTACCAGGTACACATAGTAAATACCTTTTTTTGTGGACGATAATTAAGCATCGCAATAATAACCTTTCCCATGAGGTTCATAAGAGAATTTGAATTTTTAAAATTCCACATACAAAAAGACATGGCTTGCTTTCCAGTGATCTAGACAGTTTTGGTTTGTAAGATTGTTTCCAGGGTTTAAAGAAGTGTCTGGGGTGGGGAGGCCTTTGCAGTTTCTCGGGGTTACAGAGTTTAGTATAACAGGTTTCTGCCCTCATCAGCTCTTCGGCACCATTTATTCTTTTTAATCTTTTTCTAAAAGCCACATTATATCATGTTAGCTGGAAAAATTAGTTTATCATTACCGTGATGATTTTTATTGCCAGTTTAACAATAGACTAAGAGCCTAAAATATGGATTGGAGGGGAGATTTATGTTCTCTGCAGAAATATAACAACCATCTCATGAAAAGCTGCAGTTTACTCCCTAATGTAAGGAGATTAGATGGTTTCTTGATCAGACTTGCTGAATCCCGCAACCATCAACATTGTGGAGCAAGGATGTAAATCAGAGGAGCAAGCGGATTTTGACATTCAAAAAGAGAAAGCACAGTAGGAATTTAATCACCGCATTTGCCAACACAGTGTTCTCTTCGAAGAGAGGATTCTTTTGCAAAATTCTGTATCTGGTGTATTCATGGTGACAGCATGGCGTGAGGTTCTAGTAGGAGTTTAGGAGTCACCCTCTCACTGTATGACCTTACCTGCACTCTCTCTGACCCTCATTTATCCTAAAAGTCTTGACAGGTTTCGAAAGATAATGTCTACACAGTCTTCATAGTGTCTTGAAGAAAAGTAGTAGATAAAGAAGCCTTATCACTTATCTAATCATTGACACTAAGTGAAACGTCACTCATCAACCAACCAATCAGTCAGCATGAATTTAATGAGCATCAATTTAATATAAGGGCAATGACTGGACTGTGGGGAAAGCCATCGGAGAGAAACAAGTCCATTTAAATATTTACCAAATAGTTATTGAGTACCTTTTATGCTTCAGGCTCTGTGCTAGGTGCTAGGGATTTGTGAAGTGAATGATGTAACTTCTCAGCCTGGAGAAGCTCAGAGACACAAAAGACACACGAAAGGCTGACTGGAAACTTTACATTTGCTTGGAAAAATAGATTACACACCCATAAGACAAGTCAAGAATACTACAGATCAGTTTACAAGCTAACAATTGACATGGAGTCAACGCCAACTCATGGCAACCCCACGTATGTCAGAGTAGAGCCATGCTCCACAGGGGTTTCAATGGCTGATTTTTTGGAAGTAGATCACCAGGCCTTTCTTCTGAGGTGCCTCCGGTTGGACTCGACCTCCCAACTTTCTGGGCAACCAAGCACTTAACAGATCAACTTATTGGCCTATACAAACCTCTACAGTAGAGTTCTATTGGCCTGATTCTCATTGATAGTGAATTTGTGATAATGAGGTTAGTAGCTTTTTGCCTTATTAGTGGAAAACGTTAATGATGTAAGCAAAGTATAAAACGTGCGTTTCCATTACCTCAGTATTTAGTATAGCAAGTTTCTGCCCTCCTGAGCTCATCTCCACTTTTTAACCTTTTTCTAAAAGCCATATTATACCATGTTTGTTAAGAGCAATTGACCTATACTAATGATAGACATAATACCCAGGAAGACTCGATCATCTTGAAAACCAAAATGTGTAAAGGAAAAAAAAAAGTGCTTTGTGACAGATGACAAAGACACATTGTAGATTTTAGATAGTTTGAGGAAGTTATTTTAGATTGTGGTTTTCATCCTATGGACCATCTAAAATATATCTGTTGCTGTTAACAACTAGTCAGCTCCAATTCATGGTGACCTTATGTAAAACATCTTCCTAATAATAAAAAAGCACATCTAGGCAGTGAAAAATTATCAGCAGGTTGTATGTTAAGACCTACTTGAAAGTTAGTTATTTTGGATTTGGCACATCCCCAGGGAAATCTTTTTATATGTAGAGTCTAGTTTCCAAGTCAGTCGACAACATATAGGTAACTTATAATATGACTGATTAATCATGCAAATACAGCATTTTTTAAACTGCATCAGCTGCTACATCCATGGAGATCCAAGAGTTCTATAAGGATTTTTAACCTTATGTTTTCATTTTGATAATAAATGGAAAAAATTAATATAGCCATATTGTGGATCGTTTAAGTGAATACCTTATTGTGTGATTCTAGAGCCTGTGTTTACAGTTATCTTTATAATTGTGTTAATCTCATATTATCAACTGATTTAATAGTCATAGATATTTACTATTTGGTTAAATATCTGGCTGCCATTTGGTTAGCTTGCATGAAGGTTAAAACAATACAAGTGTCCCATATCTACTATTATACGTATGTTGATTCTGTTTACCTGTTATGAGACAAAACTGTGATAATTGCCGTTTGATAGATACAAGGCTGTAATCTTTACGGAAACAAACTGCCACATCCTTCTCCCACAGAGTAGCAGGTAGGTTTGAACCACTGACCTTTCTGTTAGCAGCCAAGTGAGTGCTTAACCATTGAGTCACGAGGGCTCCTTCAAATTAAATTTAAGCTTTCAAAATAAAATGACAATATAGTAGAATAATTTTACAGAAAGTATGTGAATTAAATTATGGCGTTGGATAGGTAAAGGTTTTGCAATATTTCAAGCAGAGAAAAATAGTGGGAGAATTTATTCATCACACAGCACATAACAAGCAGCTCAACAGAATTACAACATAGCAGCCATATCACAATTGCTTTCTCATAAGAGGAATGGAAGTCATCGCTGTGCAAACTAACATAAAAGTGTTAACTAGCTATAATATAGAAGTGAAGAGTCAAGGGAATCTTTTTCTTACTTGATAATTTAACAATGTTAGTTTTATGTTTTAGGGACATTAGTAAACTGCTCTTTCAAACTAATAGATCAGTATTTATTTTTGCTCAACACTTTGTTTTTAAAATTTGAAAATATCTCTTAAAAATCCAGATTTCTAGTTTTTTCTTTTTTTAATTCAGAAAATATGACAACCATGAGCCTGCAGCCCCTGTGGTAATAATGCACTAGAGTTGAGTGGCTGTTTCTCACACAGGTCCTGCTTCTCATTTGTACATTTTCTACCCTCATTTTATAAGCACAGTTTGTGTTCCCCGATCTGAAGCAATAGGATATATATAATATATACCTCGCCTGGTGGCATAGCAGTTAAGTGCTACGGCTGCTAACCAAAAGGTCTGTAGTTCGAATCCACCAGGTGCTCCTTGGAAACTCTATGGGACAGTTTTACTCTGTCCTGTAGGGTCACTATGAGTCGGAATCGACTCGATGGCAACGGGTTTGGTTTTTCTGGTTTTCCCATGTCAGGAGTAAAGGTTCTGGAGAAGAGGTCTATCCCTCTGCATATTTTGTTTGTAAAACAAATGTTTGTGAGGAGGGGCTTCTGTTGGATGCACTGTCACATCCTGTTCTCTCCGTAAGCATGGTTTAGTGTCTAGTTCGGAATAGAAACTAACCTTTAGGAGCCAATTTCTAATTGATTGACTGTATTCATCGATTCCGAGGCTCGCTGATGAGAAGGAATTAACGCCTTCTCCTTGCTGCCCCGACCCTACCCCAACCTCCTGCATAATGCTGCCTCTCATCCAGGGTGATTCCTCCCCTGCTATTACTTGTTATTCATTTTCACTTCATTGATATTTAAAGATCATTGCAGTTTTTCACTGAAAAGGGCAACACGTACCACCGACCAGGCAAAGGTGAACACAGACGCAACTTCTGAGACGTTTTGAAAGCGTGGTATTTCCAGAGTCTTATTTATCTCTATTTCTATTGTAGGATCGCTTCCCTGCTCAGCCTATGACACTGTAACAAAATATAAGGTGGAAGAGACCTGGAACTTTGATTGGTTTATAAAGTGTTTTTCATTCAAGAAACGAAAACAGTTTTAGTATACAAGCTCATCTGTCCTCAGCACACACCTATGAAGTGAACAGGCAAAACCTCACTCTGGTCCTCTTTTTATAGATGGCAAAACCAAACCACCAGAAAGGACACAGAGTTGCTTATCATGGAAATACTACAGGGAAACTATCAGAATCCAGCTCATAACTGGCATGTTCCTCAGCTTTAACCTCAGATTAGAGCCTCAGTCTTCAACTTATATTTCCTTGATCAGACAGAGTATAAAACTTCATAACCCAACCTCTAATTTTCTTTTGAGAGCTTAGACACATTCCTCCAAAGAAAGAAATGATGTGGAAAAATATACACGCAAACTCTGAAGAAGCATCATTAATTATTCACAGTTTTGAGGTAAGTATCCATTTTGTAGTCTCTCTTTTTGGGGAAGCAATGTAAACATACATATAAACTTGTAAATAAACTATAATAATATCAATGAATACTTTGCAAATTAACAATAATGCTATCAGCCTAATACTTTAAAGATCTTACCTTTTTTTAAGACAAATCTTGTGTGTAATCTTGTATGCTTTCTTATGCTTTGCAATTCTATTTTATCGACAAATGATACATTTTTACTTAAAAATTTCATATGATTTTTGAGCTATTCATGATTCACATTTTAGAGGCTTTATGTTATTCTATCACATAGACTCATTATGGTTTTGTTTTAATCATTGCCAATTATTGAATCAATATGCTCTTTCAGTTTGAGTTTTTCCTTTATTTTAAACTATTACCTGCTATGTGGCAAGAAGATTCCTTATAGCAATAGTTTTTTTTCTTTTCTTTTTTTTTCTACCAACCATTCAGCTACTTAAGATAAAGTCTCAGAAGTAGAATTAATAAGTTAAGGAGTTGGAACATTCTCACCAGTGGTATAGCTTCCAGCATCACAGCAACACACAAGACACCACAGTACGACAAACTGACCGATGTATGCCACAAGCCCAACAGTAGAGTGTTATAATTAATGCTTTAAAGAAGTTCATGTTCTTTAAACGAATTAAAAGAAGAAAAAAATACATATATAGTCTTCTATATATACCCACATATTTATCATTTCTAGCTCTTCATCCCATTCCGTGGATTGGAGTTACTATATAGTCATTTTCGTTCAGCCTGAAAGACTTACTTTATATTTTATGCAGGACAGATCTGCCAGCAATGAATTCTCGTAGTTTTGTTCTTTTTTGTGTGTGGGTGTGGTGCCATGATTTATTTATTTATTTATTTTTCTTTTTTAAAAAACAATTACTGTTGTAGTTTAAGTGAAAGTTTACAATTCAAGTTAGTCTCTCATATAAAAATTTATGCATACATTGCTATGTGACCCTAGATGCTCTCCCTATACTGTGACAACACACTCCTCCTTTCCACCCCTGATCTCCTGTGTCCATTCTACCAGCTCCTGACCCTCTCTGCCTTCTCATCTCACCTCTGGACAGAAGCTGCCCATTTAGTCTCATGTATCTACTTGAGCTAAGAAGCACACTCT